AATGTCATCAGAGGGAACAGCTACGATGCGTACGTGATGTTAGCTGCCACACAGCACACTAAGGTACCGTGAGCCATTTTTGTCATTCTGCATGACTGAATTCTAGAGACCACATCCGAGACCTTTAAAATGCACAGATGGTCCTCGAATCGAATCTGCGCTTGTAACCATGCACTCGCTTCTGTTCGGTTACACCAAAACAGGCAGCCCTCAGCCCTCAGAGTCAAGTATATAAATGCTGCCTCAATGCATTAAGATACTGGTACAGTGACGACACTGCCTTTCAGATGAACAGCTGGATTTCCATTTCAGGTTTAGCAGCCTGAGGGTACTTCAAAAAAGGCAACATATTTTTGCCCTGAGTAAAGATGCACAAAGCAAAAATACACAGTAAGCAAAACAAAAGAAGAAGAAAAGAATATGCTGAAAATTCTTCTCTCAAGTTAATAAAGCATTAATTTGTATTTTTAAGGCCACAGCAGATTCCTGCCAGTGCCGCTTCGGTGTCTGCGGAGTAAATAGGAGATAAAAGGCCTATGTCTGTTTGCACAGGAAATCTCTAACAGCTTAGCCATCTTTGGTCTCTACTGCTCCCTGTTATGGGAGCCATCCTCGACAGTGATGGTGCTGGACACCACTACCAACAGTAGAACAATACCGGAGGTGGCAGTCCTTGCTTAGCAGGACATGAGCCACTTTTAAACAGCTTGCGTACAACTGGTGATTCACACACCACTGTTTGGGAATCCTGCTCTAAAGCAAAGCCAGTGAAAGCACTCAACGCGCTCTCAATTTGCACTAGTAGGGTTCCCACCATCTATCAATATAAAAGGTAACTTTTTCAGAGCTAGGAGTTAGAATTAGATGGGCAATTTTCTGTTCATGTTCAGAAAAAAAACCAGCTTCATTACTCAGCCCACCTCCATTTCTTACTAAAACCCTACCTCTCAACCTTCTCTCTCATTTCATGTGATCCATTGCCTCTTTAATGAAGCCACAGAAATAAGTGACAGTTCCTTGCAGGCCTACTTGCTGATATTCAGGAATAAACCCTTGCTTGACACTGCATTAATGCTTCACTCAACCCCCTTTTGACTGCAGATGATTGTCCAAGTGTAAAAAACCCCATGTTGCCAACCCTTCCTTGCATAAAAAGTCCATTTCCTCTGTGCTCAGCTCAGTGACTGAGCATGGGCACAGGTTGCCCAGGCAGGTTGTGGAGCCTCCATCCTTGGAGATATTCAAAAGCTGTCTGGATACAGTCCTGGGCAGCCAGGTCCCGGAGGCCCTGCTTGAGCAGGAGGCTTGGACCAGATGATCTCCAGAGGTCGCTTCCAACCTCAACCAAAGATGGTTAACCAATCTGTAAATAAACTGTCCCACCAAAATCAAATGAACCCTTGATGTGTGCTTTACTAAACATCTCGCTCCTTCTTCTTCTCCATCAAGTTACTTACCTGAAGCCATTCCCTGGGTCCTTGAAATTCAGGGCTTTCACGGAGTTCAGGAGAGGCCGGGACAGCTTAGTAGCCAACATGCTTTCAATTAACACACTCTACCAACGGCAAGACTGTTCTCCCTTAGCTCTGCAATACAAGATAGCACCTCTGTTTCAGTTGCTCAATTATTTTGTAATTCATGCTGACTCCATGTATTTCAACAAGAAAATAAAGTCCAAAGGAACTCATCTTTCCCCCTTGCAGTCCCTCACACTGAGATAAATAGCTCAATCTTCAACCACCTCAAGATGCTTTTAAATAAAGAAGAAAAGTAAACTGACATGCAGGGAAGCATTTAAAGGAAATGTCCAGTTCTCCTTCTTTAATGCATATTAACTTTATTCTCTGAAATACCTCAGCTAAAACTAAGGTACTTACATGGAATATATTATTACAAGTGAGCTATATGAAATGATTTTAAACTAAAATACAACTTCAAGTCACGGGTGATGTTACGTTACACGTTCCCAAAACAATCCTTGGGCCTTACAGCTAGTACAGCCATGTGGTTAAAAATACATTTCTTTGTAATTAAGTAGCTGGTGATGCTGGACTGTGCACAGGGCATTTCCATTAAACTCCCTATGAGGTGAAAACAGCTCAAGAACACGAGTTCAGCACAGAAAGTTAATTTCAATCATATTCATCTTGGATAAAATAGACCCAGCACACAAAAAAACGTCTCCCCAGCTTAATACACAGCCTCCTTTATTAGAGCAGAAAAATGGTATCTAACTGTTTAGGGCTGATTTGCATCTCTGCAAAGGCTGGGCTGCTGCTGCGGCGGTCTCAGGGCCTCTCGGGAAACAGGCCTCGACTAAAAAACGGTGAAATTACCACAGAAGAGCAGTGGCGGGG